ATTCTTTCTAGCCTTCTTCTATTAATGCTTAAGGTATTGTTCCTTCTCGCTATTAGTTTCCACCTAGTTAGGATACTTTTCCCTGCTCTATAGTGCTTCACCATTTTCTTTTACTGGTTCGAATTCCACGAAGGTAATCTATCATTTTAGTAGGTCCTTAAATCCGTTTACGTACTTCTACTCCATGTATATGGCATAGTTGGGGTGTAGATACGTATACTAGTATGGTTGTATATATTATCCGTTTACTATTATTAAGTAAGCTTGATTTATCACGGCGTTGTAGTGAGGAAACTATTATCGTTCTCGTTTATCTCATAGATGTGCATCACATCCAGTAATAGGGTAATTAAACCATTCCTATCTATAGCGTTATATAAACTTTAGTTATTTATTATTTTCTTCTTTTGCTTGGTAGTATATCCAGCACGTGTCCTCTCTATAGTATATCTATCTAAGGGATATATACGTGGGATTTTGGTGGTCTAGGTTATACTATAGGGCGTAGTTTACTTCCTTATTCTTATAAACCTTATTCTTGGGCTAGTGCTTGTATACTATCTTAGCCTAATCCCGTTATTCCTTTAAGATCTTGGCTCCTCCTTATGGTTTAAATGTGATAGGTTAGATTTATCCGTCTAGGTATATTACTATTCTATAGGCGAGGTCGCCATCTTAAGGTTAATTTGGTTCTAGAAATTCCCATACATTTGGTGTGTTATTGCTTAATCTAGGTTCTAGTGTGTAGTTGGGTGTTATTAGGTTATTCTTAAGGCGTCAGCCTTAAGGATAAGGAGTAGGAGATTATATAATCTCTTCTACATCTAGCTCTTCCTCTATACTAAGGTATACGTCTAAGTCTCTGTTTGGGTCTTCGTATAGTTGTGAGTTAGGTGAATTTAGTTGATCCTACTTTTTAATCTTGAGCCTCCTAATATTGGTGATTACTATCTATTCTTTATTGGTTGCCTTTACATTACTAGTGGATAGTACATTTAACTACACGGTCCTTATAACCTTGTTCTTAGAATGGTAGTTCCTAGTAATGTGGCCTAGTTTACTATATATAAAACATTTACGGGTCTTGGTTGTCTTGGGTCGACTTCTATCTAAGACGCGTGGGTTAGGCTTATAAAAGCCTGCCTTTCCTTTTCCTTTGCCTATATAATTAAACTAGACATCTTCCATTAGTTCATATCCATAGTTGCCTTGTGACTATTGGTGTCCCTTAGGTGCCTTTAGTGACGCCCTATAGATGATAGGTGCTGCCTTTCTAAAACTAATATTCCTTGGGTTCTTTTGGAATTCTTATTATAGTGCGAACCATTCTCCATTAATCCTAATAGCTTTAGTATATAATTCTTTAAGAGTATTAACTTATGCTCCACTACGCAAGAGTTCTTCACGTATAAATTTCTTAAGTCCTTATCTATACATAGTTATTAGGGATTCGTCCTCCTATTCAATCTATATAACGTATTTCCTAAATTCAGCCATATATTCTACTACGGATCGTTTCTATGTGATGGTTTGGATGGCTCGTTTAGCTATAGGTACCTTGTTGGTAATTCTAAATATCTATTGGAGACTCTTCTTGAAGTTTGGGTAGTCTTTAATAATGTCGATTGTGTTGGTGTGGAGGTTGAGATATTCCTCCTTATAGTTATTGTAATCCATTCCTAGGTACTTAGTGACGTAGGGTTGGATCTAATCTCCAGCATTACCTCGCATGTAGGTGGCTATAAAGATGACCTTCCTTTTATCGTCGAGATCTTCATTATTATTGAAGAAGTAGAGGTCTAACTGAAGTAGCCATACGTTGGTGTGTTTGCGGTCGCCATAATATAAGTCGGGTTTATGTACCTTACTCTTGGAGTTACTTATGGGAGTAATCGCGGCACCGTCTAATAACGTGGAAGAAGTAGGAGTCCTCATTACTATGTTAAGGGTGTTCAAGATGTTAAATCCAGAAGGGTTAGGGTTAGGGTTAGGGTTAGGGTTAGGGTTAGGGTTAGGGTTAGGGTTAGGGTTAGGGTTAGGGTTAGGGTTAGGGTTAGGGTTAGGGT